TTCAGAGCTGCTTTAAGACTAATTATCAATATTAATAACAGTTGCTTCAAAATGGTATCCCCACATAACTTATGGTTCCCAGCCTCATTCTGAGATTTATTAATATAAGGTACATATACAAATTTAACAACTGAGGAAAAACCATACACCTTTACACATGGTTACATTGACATATTATACACACACATTGTTTTGCTGTGTGTCATCTTACACATTTTTGTGTGAAGCTTTATGTTTTGCACTCTGCTTTTCCATGTGTTTTGTATTTTAGAAGCACATGATTATAAACAATATTTTAGCTTTTAATAGCACCTTTAAGTTACTTATGAAACAAGACTTGTGAAAACATGAAAGCAATAGTAATAACTGCAGCCAAACCTTGTTGTACATTATCAGTCAGGAGTTTAATCTTTGCTGTGAACACGATGATACCAGTGATGGTTTATTTAAACAAATACCTACAAAACACATTTGTGAATGAAAGGTTGAACTGCTGAGTATCACAAGTAAAGGTATCGTTTCCTTCTGTCTGTCCATTAAAATATGCTGCACACGTCCTGATTACAAAACTCCAGGATATCTGTTGTAAGGAAAAGAGATGTAAACATTAGAACCATCAACAAGCGTGAGGGTTAAGTTTGATTATATGTGTTTAATTGTAGTTTTACCAGAGTGTGTGCAGTTGAAGACGGTTTCTGCGTGACTGTAAAACTCGTCTCCGAGGATGGAGCGGTAGTCCATGTGGCTCGTGTGGACAAGACACTGAGTTGTATCTTTGAACAGCAGATCACTTTCTCCATATTGCTGAGACTCAAAGAGTTTGAACTCTGAGTTTGGGTTGGCTGACAAAGTTTCCTATAAGATAAGAAATACATAAAAATCTGTTTTAAATTTTAAAAAAGCTTATTCCCTCCTAAATACTCCCTATCTGCTTTGGGTAATGATCATATTTAACAGTCTGTTCTGTTTTCTGTCAGTATTCATTAGAACAAGCAAAGAACTGGATCTTTGGCAACAGCTGCTGGCAGCGTGATTATGACTAAGCTGCCATCGAACCTCATGGATAAAGTTTCGGTACCAACTGGAATGTGTCTGTAGTACAGTATATATATATATATATATATATATAGTAAAACCAAAATCTGGCATCAAATATGAGATAGTTCCTAATTTAAATCATTCTCTTTATCAGGAAATATATCTTGTAAGACACTTGTGTTTGTTCTTTTCTATATTTCTTAAAGTAAAGCATCAAACCTTGAGCTGAACTAACCCTGTCCTAAATGTAATGGCACCATGGAGTTTTGGGTGTCGGTAACCAAACAAAGGCATCTTCAAGACTTTCACACGTCATCTGTCTGCACTTTTAAGGGTTTACTGTAAGTGGTGGAGATGATGCTGAGCCATAGCGTGAGAGAACTTCACACACACACACACACAGTTCTTGATGTCTTGATGACTGTCCACCATGGCGCTAAATGAGTACACACACACACACACACACACACACACACACACACACACAGTGCATATATGAAACACTCTCTGTGTGAATCTGTCGACATACGCTGACCTGTGACTTCATGAGGAAGTCGTACACCCGTGCTGTGAGCACTGGCCGTGTCATGATGGTGTTCGGAGGGATGACTCCGAGGTTACAGCTCTCCCACTCTGACAACGGGGCCCGACGACCATCTCCACACAGCAGCTCAAAGTCTGATGACGTCCACCCCTCTGCCCAACCAGTGGAACTCAAACCTAGGATGACCCAGTGTATGATGTAATATAATAAACATACAGTATGTTAGCATCAGTGTGTGTGTGTGTGTGTGTGTGTGTGTGTGTGTGTGGGTTCACGTCAAAACTTCGTCTTCAATATCTCACTGCTATACTCACTGAGGGATGTGCGTAAGAAGCGTTGTCTGCTCCAAGGAAGGCCACATCTCCGCTAGCTTTTACCACTGGGACTCTCCTACCAGACCACCTGTGGATAAGAAGACAAAGGGATTAAGCTCAGTTCAGCCAACATTACATAAAAACGTTTTCTCAGATTAGCCACAGTAACATCTTGCCACACACAAGCTAGATTTGATTTAATTTCCGCAAAGTTGAAGATATTGGTCTCAAAAAAAAAAAGTCCGCAATGACACAGAAGTTGACATTTTGTAGATTGATACCAGAATGGATTTCGGGGAGCATGGAAGGAGATCTTCGCTGCTTCATTTTTTCTTAAAGTCGCTATATATCAATATTCGTTATATTTCAACTGGAGTCAATGTAAGCAAAGCAAAAACACTTCATAATGACCATGCTGTATTATTTCCTTTCTATTCTGCTGGATGTGAATTTGTTAATTCAGCGTTTTACATATAGATTTTTAAGTGCCATACCACCATACAACGTGTACATCAATTATATGGGGTAAAAAGTCAAATCTGAGGAGAGACAATATCCTTAAACCAAAAACTCGTGCTTAATGGCTGAGACCACAAAATGGAATGAATAGAAAAATTGCATCATCTTTCATAAAAAACACTCTTCTAAACCACATCAAGCAGATTCACACGACGAACAGAAAGTCTGGTTCAGGTAAAGGCGCTAGGCGCATAGC